TGATATTTATTTCCAATTGTACTGAAAAAAAAATATTACATAAAAGGGAAAACTACTGCAATGATTTTAAATATAAAGCAGAACATGATACTAATCACATTGATAAAATGTTTTAAATATAAATAAATATTTGTAATAAAAAGAGAACAGTATTTGATTACTTGAATAAGCGGAATAAATTTTAATGTATAAAATTGTTGATATAATTTGATATTGATGAAGTAATTTTGAAAAACAAATAAGGAAAAAAGAAATGAAAATATTGAAATTTATTATAGATTTCTTAACAAACAGGTAGCGAACAATCTGTTTTACAGTGGGTGTGTTCTTTAATTTTTGTGTTTTTTTTTGCTTTTGATTTTAATGGCGTTTTAAAAAATCCGCCATTACAATATTCGCGAACCACCGGTTGGGAATCACTGGTCTAGATACTTACAAAAAGTATTGATGTAAGTTTCCTAAGTAACTTATTTTGAAGTGAAAACTCAGACTATAAGTAAAATTACGATTTTTTTGTGAACTGGCAAAAATTACCACCGATGGGGGGAAGTATTTAGCAGTGTTGATAATTAATTTTTAACATTATTCTATAAAACATTAACATAAAAATCAGTACTCATATTTTAAGAAAAATAATTAATGTTTTCACGTAACTTTAGCACCTGATATCTGCAAATTGACCGTCGGCTCAGATAAGCGATTCTTGCTCAGAAAATAAGTAATTTCTAGTGGCTCTGGGATCTTGCAGTTTAAGAAAATCTGATTAATTAATAATTTAAAAGTCATAAAATTGTTGGTTTTTAACAGTTAATCCTAGGCATCAATTCATTAATCCAACCAGGCGTATGGTGTCTCTAAAACATTTTCGTCCGTACTTCGGTGTCTTATTTTGTAAAACAATTTAACGTTTTTGTTGTTTTTGTGCTGTCTAAAATTGTCTGATGTCTTCAGCCGTTTCCCTGTCTTTTGTTTTCCCTTAACGTGCGTCAGTTTGTTAGATCCTCTTTTGTTAATATCTTCTCTTTTTAATTTTTGTTCTGGCGGTGTCTCTTCTGTGTGAGGATGTACGAATTTATGAACTGCTCCCAACTGAAAATTAAAAATAAAATTTTTAATAAACAGTCAAAATGCCTACAATAAATATGCAAATATCAGAAATGCGTATTATTTGAAATATTTATTCTACTTAAAATGTTTCTATTTAGGGAA